ATATTCAGGATTTTCAGGAATACTGGTGTTTGGGATCCATCTGTCACACTGTATGGGGTCACACTGTTCCTATAAAACAGGATTACAGAGTGGGGATGATTCTGGATCCAGACCTTCCTCTAGATTTGCAAGTTGAGTTGAGGCCAGAGATAATTTTTAGTAGCTTCAGTAGATACTAAATATAAAAAGTATTTAATTAAGTCTTCTGGTTTGATTCAAATGCTGGTCAGGGGCAGACTGGCCATTGAGGCCTCTGGGAAAGACCTGCCTCCCTCCACAAGGGCCACCCCAGCCCCAAGTAATGAGCAGTCCTCATCCTGTTTGGGGTGGTTCTCATAGCTGCCCCATGAGTGAGCCAGCAGCACTTGCAGCTACCACCACGAGCAAGACAGCTACCTGGGCCTTTTGCAGAGGAACCGCCACCACCATTAGTAAGATAGCTCCCCCGGCTCCATACAGGGCAGGCAGGCAGCCATCATGAGTGAACTGACAGTTCAAGCCCTGTGCAGGGTGAATCATCAGCCACAGCTACAAACAAGCTAGATTTTGCTCTCCCCACCACACTTCTATTGGTAGGGGGAGGACTAGAGTGGGTTTCTTTCTTTCTTTCTTTCTTTCTTTCTTTCTCTCTCTCTTTCTTTCTCTCTCTCTCTCTTTCTTTCTCTCTCTCTTTCTTTAGGTTTTTTTTTCCTTGAAAGAATAACAAATAACAGAAAAACAACAAAACGAGGAAAGAGAGAAAACTGTATAACCTAAATGGAGGCTTCCAATTTTCTCTACAACAAATGTAAGTATGGCCACAAAGTTTTCTCTTACTCTATGTTTAAAAGGGAAAAAAACTCCCTTTTTTCTATTGTCAAAATTCATTATTCATCAAACCCACAAGTCATCAAGTCATTATTTTCTGTTTCATGCAAAAAGTCTATAAGGGGTTTCCAGTCTGCAATAAACAAACTTATTGTATTTTCTCTAATCAATGAAGTAAGTTAATTCATTGTTGCGAGTTTCAACACTTTCACCAACCATTCCTCTGTTGTAGGCAATTCCACTCTTCCACTTTTGCACATATAATAATCTCACTGCTGTTGTCATATATAAAAACATGTCCACCACATATGATAAAATGTTCCTTCATGCTGTTCACATTTCCAACATGAACTCAAAATTTCTCCAGAGACATATACCAACAGTACATCATCTTATAAAAGTTCTCTTTAGCACTAGAACTTAATATAAATGTCAACTCTTTTAACCATATATTTTCCCATTGTTCCATTTGTATACATATCCATTTTTTTAGTGGAGCGGGGAATTTTCCAGGGCCATTTTTTGTTTCCCAGTCCACCCTGATTCTGGTGATTCACGTGGGTTCTATTTGGCTGAGGCCAAAACAGTTGAGCAATATGTTTGCTTCTCAGCAACATGAAAAACAGACATCAGTGTTAAAAATTATTGTTGGTCATGGCTTTATGATTTAAAATAGTTCCCCTCCCCCAACCTGATACTATGCTGACAGTATAGGCCTTTAAAATGGAAAATGGTCTGCTAAATTAGTAGTAGTAGCAGTAATTTATTGTGTTGACCATAGGTCATAACAATACAAAAAAAATGCATAAAGTCTGCTAAATTTCTCAGTGAATAAGAAGGAAGAACAATGTCTGCTTTTGCAGTCATTTTTAAGAGGCCTATAAAGGCTTTGGGAAGGGAATAATGGCAACAATTTGAAAATGTCTGATTTAAAGAAAAGCTTTTGCAGTTTAATTGGAATCTTCTCCAAAATAATGTGTTGTCATCTGAAATTTAGCTGCCTTCCTCTTTTACCAGAACCTAGCAATTTATGTGAAAATTAACTGGTCTCGCTTCCAGGACAATGATTTAGATTTAGAACCCATCACTGTGGAAACTATCTATTTATTCATCACCTCTGCTTCCTGATATTTAACCAGCTTCCATTCTGTAACAGGTCTTATTCTCCTATCCCACAATTGTTAAGTTTTCTTTGCTGCCTTTGCTAAGGGTGATTTTGTCTCAATATCCTTTTAGAATTCTTTTGACAGTCAGCAAACATGTAAATATTAGTGTCTGTTGCTTAGGGTTTGTTAATTACAAAGTAGTATTTAAAAAACAAAAACAAAACAAAACTGCATATCTGCTTGCGGCTCCTTTTTAGGTTATGTTGATGGCTCAGAATGTCAGCTAATGCTTCCTCCATAGGTATTAATTATTAATAGATAATCCCTTGTTTACACACCCTACATTCTAAGACTGTAGGAAGCTGATACAATTTACACACCAGGAGTCCTTGCAATCAAGTGCAAAAGTGTGTTAGGCTAAAAATGACAGACATAAAGCAGCTAATATAAAACTGAGCAAAGCAGGTGAATTCAGGTTTTGGGTTTTTTAAAAAGAATTTTGGCAGAAAGAACTGGAATTTCTTGAACACAGGTGAACCCTAAAAGAATTGTACAGGTTCGTTCATCCACAGCTGACACACCAGCAGCACCCTTTCTAGAAAAAGAGACCTTCCAACTGTGCTGAGGTAACTTCACAGGCATACTATAGTAAAGCATTTTTTTTCCCATGGACCTCTCCACTGAAGAGTACTGGAAAATGAAATTGGACTAAAGTATGGATGCCAGACTAATTACTTGTATTTGCCACATGGAGTGTGTAATATTAATATTATAATAGCTTCATTGATTACTCTGTTGTTGGAGGGCTAAATTCCAATATTTCAGTCTTCTTACCTGAGACCCACTTTGGGTAAAGTTCTGGGTTAGGGTTAGAGCACTTCCTATATGTTCCTTTTCATTCTTTGCCATCCAGTAATGACCTCTTAATTAAAGTCTTATATTGATTGTATAGATGGTAGGACTTTTTCAGTCATGGCCCCTTATCTTTGGAATTCCTTATCAACATAAATTATCGGGGCTGACAGTTTAGCCCATTTATTCAAGGGATCAATATTTTAATGCTATTTTAAAAGATAGCATGCTAAATGGTGATTTGATATGTTTTGCCATTTTCCGCTGCTGGGTTGTTTTTGGTTTTCCGGGGGTGGGGGGGAGCTAATAATTTTTATCTTTTTAAAAATCATATTTTTTGTTCTCCACTTGGAAAATGTGGACCTTTGAAAAGCAGACTATACATTTCCAAAACTGTGAGTCTGTATGGAGTTGCTTACCATTTATTATTAGAAAGCCTTTAATAATTTCCTGTAGAAACAAAGTATGGCTCCAGTCACACGGGCAGGAAACTGCGGGGGGGGGGGAAGTGTGGCTGTTTGCCCCAGGGCAAACTAACGCACGGTTAAGCAATCAGACCTCCTGTGGAGGTCCTGTGGAGGTACCGTGGAGGTTCTGTGGGTAGGGAGAGGTGCCGAACACAGGAAACGCCTGCGCACAATGACGAAGCATGCGGTGCGGCAAACTGGTTTTCTTTTTTTGTGTACACGACAAATGTGCATGCTCCGTTGGGTGCGTGTGCACATCCACGGAGACTTGGGGAAAAAAACCCTTTTTCGCAAGGGGACATGGGCAGGCGCCGGATGCCACCGGAAACGCGATCAGACAACCGCCCTTGCCCCGCGGTTTCCGGAAACTAGTACCTCCGAGGTACTAGTTTTTTGCTGCGCGTTTTCGGCGGGAAGCCTCAGTTGTGCCTCGGAAGCGCTACGCTTCCCAGATGTGCTGGTGAAATCGCGCCCGGAAAATCCACCTGTCTTCCGTCTCTCTTGTGTAGCTAATGTTCCGTGTGACCGCAGCCAAGGATAAATGAAATATAACTATGTTTATCAGTCTTGCAATTAAACCAGTATTAATCAGTTGGGTCAAAATTATAATCAAATATTGAATCAGTTTGGTTTAGGGAATCTAGACATTGACATACCCCGAATATATGTTAACCAACAATCATTAGATCCAATAGCAAATTTTGCCAGGGCATGTTTAACTCAATTTTGCCAGGGCATGTTTGCCAAGAAAATTTATACGCCACATTCATAGATCTCAGGGTTGCTTTTGATACTATCTCTCGAGGAAGATTATGGGCAAAATTGGGAGACACATCCATTGATAGAAGATTGTTATACATGATGATTAAGCTTCATGAGAATAAGGTAGACTCAAGACGGTAAACTATCCAAGAAAATCCCAGTTCAGAAGGGCGTTAGACAAGGCTGCTTATTAGCACCCTTCTTATTTAATATCTATGTAAACATGTTGATTCAAGGTGCACATAAGATAGATGTCCATGTCCTGAGTCTTGCTGGAAGAAAGGTACCAATTCTCATTATGTAAATGACGCAGTTCTCCTGTCACAAACAAAAATTGGTCTAAAGTGTGCCATAAAAAATTAGTGATCAATGTGATATAGAGCATTTGATAATCAATTACTCAAAATCTAAAATTATACATTTCAGTAGACATTTTTTAAAAAAACAACTGGGAAATTAATGGAAACACTATAGACCAAATTAATTTTTTTCAGTATCCTGGAGTCATCTTTACATTTAATGCTAACTTCAAAGCCCATACAATTGCATCAGAAAATGCTGCAGAAAAGAGCGCAAACGCCATCCTAAGATTCTTTAGAAGAGAAGGGGCAGGCTTTATACCTGCAGCCCTGAAACTATTTCAAACATCTAATTAAATGACAACAATGGGAACAGCAATGTAGTAACAATGAAAGACAAAAAATTGCTGCAAACGTGCACACAGAAGTAAATTACACTGAAGTAGATTTCATGATGTATGATCTTTATATTCAACAGGTAAACAGACTGGCAGACGAACTTCTCGAGTTGATACTAGTTTCGAAGTGCCTTTCTCAAATGAGTCTCAATTTTCTATCCATGTGCAATAAAGTCGACAATGGAATCTTGAATCAAAATGGTCTTCTCCCAAAGCTATATAGCTACAACATTGTATAACATTTCAAATGGACATTTGTCCATACTTGCAGCAGACTTCTGCCCCTATTAGACATAAATTAATACTTACAAAAGTCGCATTTTCCAGCAATAATGTAGTTGTGTTTGTTTCTACATTCAGTTTTACAACATGTCCATGCCTGTTTTTATAGACCACTTCTGTATCTGTTAATAGAAAAAAGTGCATTAAGAATTAGCAAAGGCAAAACATTTCATGCAATAGCTTCTTAGTTAATGGGTCAATTCAATGAAGAAAAGCCATCACTTAAAGCTAATATGTTAAAAAGTGCGTAGATTGAAGTAACAAGTTCATTAGCAGCATCTAACAGTGGCCCCGGTCATACGGGCCGGATATCGCGGGGGGGAGGCATGGCTAATTGCCCTGGCACAGTTTGATCCGCGATTACGCGATCAGACGCGCTGATGGCACACCACGGGTCCGTCCCTCCGCGCCAGTGGGTAAACAAGGGTGGCAATCACACAACGATCCTGCAGTGCGGCAAAGAAGCGGCATGGCATGATCACACTAGCAATGGCTAGGCGCCGCTGCCATGACAAACGGGGTCATTTTTTTTAAAGCCGAAACGGCACTTTTGCTTTCCTCTTTGTGTGCATGCGCCGTTGGGTGCTTGTGCGCATCTTGTGGAAACTTGGGGGGGGAACCTGTTTGTGAAGGGACATGGGCGGGCGCCGGATGCCACCACCGGAAACGCGCTCAGACGCCAGCCCTTGCCCCGCGGTTTCCAGAAACTAGCGCGGAGGTACTAGTTTTTAACCCCACATCTTCGGCGGGAAGCCTCGTTTTCGCCACAGGAGCTCTACACTTCCCAGATGTTGTGGTGTGATCGCGCCCAGAAAATCCACCTATCTTCCGTCTCTGTAGCAGGGCTAATGCTCCGTGTGACCACAGCCAGTGTTAATTTATCCAGAAGTAATAGGAAAGAAACTAAATTATTGTAATCCTGCTGACCTCACTAACAGAGGTGGTTCCACGTATGGTTGCCAACTGGTGGCTGGAGATCACCTTGGATTACAACTGATTTCCAAACAACAGTTCATCTGGAGAAAATGACAACTTTGGAAGGTGGAGTCTATGTCCCTCCCCAAACCCCACCCTCCACAGACTCCAGCCCCAAACCTCCAAGTATTTCCCAACCCAGAGTTGGCAACCTTATTTCTACCACATCACTGTAGCCATTTTCTGTTCCTTTGTATGGAGCAAGGCCAATTTCCCTAGGCAAAATTGGTAGACATTTGGCCGTGAGATCTTTACCAAGAAACCCGTATTTTGTTCAAAAGCTGTTAATCAAGAATGAAGCATTTGTAAGAAAAGATTGTTACAGAAGAAAATAGGGGGGGGGGAGAAAAACTTTATCCATATATTTTAACCAAATTACTGTTGTTCGGTCAGAAATTGTTCTACACTAACGTGCACATGTGTGCATTTGACATAAACTGAGCTGAAAAAATACCCCCCAAAATACCTTACTGGTATTTTTAGTGTATTATTTAAGCCAAATACAGATTCGATTTACATCCCCCCCCCAGCTTTTATTCAGGTATATTCAGCTATACAAAGGATCAACTGGGGGAGCAGGAGCTGAGTGCTCCATGCCACTTCAGCTGGGGCTGGCGCCTGTTGCAAGCCTGTCCAGGATTGGCCAGGGTGGCAGGAGCTGAGAGTTCTGTGCTGTGAGGACTAGGTCTGGCTTCTTTTGTAACTCAGTTTAAACCAAGCTGCAAGAGAAGCCAGACCCAGCCAAGGAAGCACGGAGCTCTCAGCTCCTGCTGCCCCAGCTGATCCTTGGTATATCTGAATATACCTTAATAAAAGCTGGGAACAAATGTCTTTTATTAGGGCTCAGCTATACCAGTAGTCATTCAGATTCTCTGAATCTGTATTTGGCTTAAATAATCCAAGGAAAATACCAGTAAGATATTGGGGGGGGGGGGTATTTTTCCAGCTCATTTTATGCCAAACACACACCTGTACACATTAATGTAGAATAGTACACTCTCACTCAGACTCAGATTTATTGTTACAGTCAACAACCAGCACACTCAGTCATTTTACGTAAAAACATTTGAATAAGAGATACGGGATAAAACTAACAGTGGCATTCTTAAATTAAAAATCTGTGACTATAACACAAATAAAATAAAACAGCCAAAATACCATACCGTTATTGGGATCAGGGATTTTTTTGGAAATACCCCCCCAAAAAAGTCCAATTGACGTGAACTAGAAAATACTGGTGTTTCCCCCCCCCCTTTTGTACACCCCTATTAATGTGTCTACAACCACTACACCGGTAATCCAATATAATTCAGAAGTACTTCCTCATTTTCTAATGCAGTTGCTCCAGACAGTCCTTCTCCAAGTAATGTGTGGCATGGCGGCAGGAAGTGAATTCATACAATCAGTTTGGTCTAGGGTTATCATTCTCCAGATAAGGGCTAGAGTTCTCACAGAACTACAACTGAATATCAGACTACAGAGGTCAGTTTCCTTGGAGGAAATTGCAGCTCTGACTCTATGGAATTACATTCCCTTCCTCTACCAGCACTGACCCCAGATCACAGGAATTTCCCAATACAAAGTTCACAGCACTAGTTTGGTCCAGCCATATCACTAAAATAATAACACAGAAAGAACACCCCCCCTGGGGGAATACTACAAAATAACTCCCCAAGAACACATATATATTTTTTAAAAATAGCAATATATAAACTATAGCCTTATCTATCCTATAGTATTTCAACAGATGGGATACTACAAAAGGAGCTATTCTCTCCCCATGACCTTAAAAACCTTCCAGGCAAAATCATTGGCTCAACTCCTGTATGGCTCACAAATCGGACTTTATGCCAATCTAAAGACCCTTAATAGGGTTCAATCTAAATTTCTTAGATCTCTATTTGGTGTTCCTAGAAGCACTTCTAATGTAACGCTTAGGCAAGAGGCTGGGCTACTCAGAGTCGAAGCAACGGTCTGGGAACAGGCTATAACACTCTGGCTAAAAATTCATTACAACCGAAAGGTTTAATACCTTACCTTTTAGCCTCAGACCCTTACTCTGCCTGGTCCTCACAAATTCTTAATAAGTTAAATCAGATTGGCCTATTCCCTGAAGATCTCTTCTATGGAAGCCTATACAAGGCAAGAACAGCTGTTGGGCAGAGGCTTTGTGATATTGAATCACAACATAAAGAAGCTTTGCTACCCAAGAACTACAGAAATATAAAATCTTGGCCTAATTCTACTGTTGCCCCTTATTTAGTTAACATTACCTATGAACCCTATAGATGGGCCTTTTCCAGAGCCCGTTTTGAGGCACTCCCTTCTGCTGTACTGCAAGGTAAACTCACTCGAGTTCCAATGCATGAGTGTACATGGCCATGCATGGCTAATATGGTGGAATCAGTTACTCATGTCCTCCTGTTCTGCAGATTCTATCAGGAGGACCGAGACCATCTTATACTACCCCTTCTGTCTAGTTTTAGCCCTCTGCAGTCTTATCTTGACTTTAGGCCAGAAGTCCTTCGTAAATTCCTCTTAGAAGACGTTCAGAGCTCAGTGACTTACGCTGTGGCAAAATTTTGTTGCTTAGCTACTAGGAAACGTAAACTTATTTTAGCTTAAAAAAATTGTATGATTCTCCTTTTAACAATATTTTATTTTACTAATTTTATTAACTTTCTCTTTTTTATGTTTTTATACTATTCCCATGTTATTACTGGTTTTAATAACTCCAATTCTATTAACTTTTCCAGGCAGATCTGATGAATTTAGTATCTCCCTCCCCCCTTTCATATTGTTCTAACAAAATCACCTCTATGGTGGCCAAATTTTGCCCCTCGGCAAGATCAACTAGGGTTGGCAAGTCAATTTTTCTTACTGGCGGGGGAGCCTCGCCAGGCTCCGGGAGCCGTCCGTTGACGTGCGTGCGCCGCCAGCACATCACCGGAAGTGACGCGCAATGTCAGTCACGTTGAAGGTGTGGCCCCGATCATCGGAGGGAAAACCATAGAGTTTTCCCTCCGATGATCAGGGCCACGCCCCCAACGTGATTGACGTGGTTGCGTTAGCCTGGCCCGCTGCGCTTCGGGGGGCAGAGTTCCCCCCGGGGCCTGATTCTGCAGCGGCGGGAATCGGCCCTCAGAAACGGGGGGTTACCCGCCCCCGCCCCCACTTGGCAGCCCTACGATCAACAAGGAAGCATCTGGTCAAGTCTTCTTATTGTCTCTACTATTGAAATCAGCCTGCCATGCTGCCTGGAAATTTTATTGTTTGCAAATGGGCTGATAACTATGAGTGTCAATCGTGACTGATCTATGATTGTAACTAATAAAGAAAGAAAAGGGGCTATTCTTTTAAACTAAATGTATGGAGATTGGAGCCAATGAACCATGAACAGAGTGAACTCACAGAATAGATGTCTTTGCCCAAAGCCCCTCCCTCCCTCCTACCTACCCCAGCAACCTTCAGGAACAGAATATAATGGTGTACAAGGGATACAGCTCATTGGGACAATCACTGAGAACTGTTCCTTTTCTTTGGCACAAGTTCTTATGCAAACAGAACAAAAACTTTTGCAGAAGGTATGGAGGCGATTTCTGGAGATTGTTATTACGGTAGCACCACATACCACACTCTTCTTGAGGGTCTTACAACCTTCTGGAACAGTTTTTGTGTAGCCCATAAGAAGTTGCAATGGGAAGATGTGTTTCATGAACTTGTTCAGTTCATCGTTCATTGGATCCAACCAACTCATTTTTCTTTGAATAGCTGAGATGCTATTTACGAACCCTGTTCTAAAATATCTAAGCACTATGTTTTGATTTAAGAATGAATACTGGATGTGAATGTTTAGGACGTATTTGGAGATCCTGAAATAAAATGTTATGCATAAATAATTACTATTTAAGTGTTGAGTATTAGTATAGTAATCATGAATAACCACTGTTCATTTCTTTTAGTGCCAGGCTAATGAATGACACTTTCTGTGATAAAGAACATTCCTAGATAGGATAAGGAAGCATTTGATGTCCATTTGGCAAAATGATGGCTTTTTCTTAAAAAGAAGGCAGGAAAAATAACACTGGGCCATTAGTCACTCAGCAGGCATGTCCTTGTTCTGTACAGCCCCAGCCTACTACTGCCTGTGCTGTCAACAAGCAAACACTTCTAGGGATCGCAAGGACTCCTGCCACTCACTAATAACACACCACTTCCCACCTCTATGAAAGCACGATCACTGTGTTCCATAGACTCACAGCATATTTTGATGCCAAACTTGGGAAGAATATGGATATATAACAGAAGCAGCCTTAAGTCAGACCAAAGAAAATGACCACCCATTTCAAGCCTACACAATTCCAACTAATTGAATTCATTACCACCAATTAGTTAAGCTCGGATAATTTAAAACACTAACAGATAAAGTCATGCAAGCAGTACCAGAACATTATTTCTCTGAACCTGGAACCAACTTTTAACATAGCCCCCCCCCCCCCTCCCCCGTGCACTGCAGCCTGGGCAATGTGCACCATGGATTTCCAGATTCTAGCAAAGTCTGCCCACTCTTCCCATCGCTCATACTTGCACCCTGCATGGAAGACAGTCTGTTTGCTCTGACAACAAAATTGAACATCTATTTTTAGAAACAATACCAGATGCATTTCCAGGCCACCATTTGATTACCAGCTGGTAGAGGAAAAGTACAGTGAGGTTACAATTATGTGAGCTTCCAAGAGGCATCTGGCCACTGTTGGAAATGAAAGGCTAGAACACATTAGACACTGGTCTGATCCAAAAAGACATTTTTTATAAGACAAACAGTAATCTCCCCCCCCCAAAATGAGGGAAAAAAATATGGGTTTCTTTTGTGTATGATTTTGTACTTGTGGCCTCATTTATTTTTGTACAGCTCAGACTTATGGATGAGCTAGTAAAGAATGGTAGCTAGGTGACAGTATGACAAATGAGGGTCACCACCTCTAAAATTGTGCTCACTCTTAACATTAAAAAGCAGGAGGCACAGGGCTATGGTGAGCCTGGCCTCAGAGGTATTTTTGGCTTGAAAGACTTCTATTTAAAGTCAGAGTCAATATGGCACAACATGGAAAGGAATCAATTTTCTTATCTTTTTGTTTGTTTGTTATTTCACATAAACATGCCCATAATACACAAAGCAAAAACAGTGCACTTTCAGAAGGAAATACTCTTGAGTTAGATGATCTCCTGAGTAATATATGTATGATCTAACCAAACAGACTGCATTGAAAGTTTGGCTTTAACTGATGCGATTCAAGCAGAGAGCACTACAGTGTATTTTGAGCATGTATTTGATTTTATTGGAATTCCCTCTCATACTTGGAGATGATTTTTTCAAGGGTATTGAAGTTGCTACTCTTGATAGCACTCCTTAGTATTGTTGTGCACCTATTATTACACTGCAAGAATATTAGAATTTTTAAAATGCAACGCATAATTTAATCATAGGATATGCCTTGTTTTTACTTTATGGCTTACTCTATGATTGCAGTCCAAGGTTACAGTCACACACACGAGATAAAGCAGGGGGGAAGTGAGGCTATTTCCTCCAGAGGAATTTGACCTGCGGTTGTGCGATCAGACCATCCCGATGCCATGAGCGCACACTGTAGTGATCAGACAGGGGAAAGTCGCCACTGCGTGATCAGAAGCAACTGCAAGTGAGGGGGGGGGGTTGGTTTCTTTTCTGTTTGTTTCCGATGCTCTTAAACAAGGAATTGATGAACCGCATCTCCACACGGAGGGATCCTTATGCAGTTTGTGATGATGAGCATACCGATGGGGGGGGGGGAACAATGGCACAGAGTTGGGATGGCCTGATCAGACCATCCCTATGCCATGAGAGCGAGCTGGAGTTATCAGACAGGGGAAAGTCCATCCGTGGCCCATCACAACCCGGTTACATACCAGATTTTCCCTGGTGTTTTTTAACGCCACTTCTGCAGCGGAGCAGAACGGGTTGTCGATAGCTGCGGGGTGCTTCCTGGATGTTGTTGTCTGATCGCGCCCTTTAAATCTGCCCGGCATTCACACCTATGGCAGGTCTAATTGTTTGTATGATCGCAGCCCAAGACAGCCTTGTCCACATAATCTGAAATTTTCAAGCTTTTTGACATGGTCTGGGTATATAAGGATACATTACTCCTATAGCCAATCCAAAGCAACTCTGTATAACAAAATGTCTTTTGTGGTTATACACTTTGGAGATTTTTAAAAAATGAAGCAGTTTGGTCATATCTGTTCTAGCCTTAGCTCATTCTACAGGTCAGAAGGCCCCGACAGGCTATGGTTGCCAGCCCCCAGATCTGGGCAGGGTTTCCCCTGTTTTGGGGGGCTCCAATCTGTTGCTGACAAGCTGGCCAGTGGGGGAAGCCCCACCCCCAAGACCAACCACCCAGGGCCACCCCTCTCCCTCTCCTCTTGTGAGATTTAAAGGACTTCAGCTGATTGGTGGGGAGCATGTGGCTTGCCAACCAGCCGGAGAACCCTTTAAATCTTTCAGGAGAGGAAGAAAGAGGGGCTGTCACTGGCCACACACTCTATTCACAAAAAGACCCTTTATAGAGTGTTTTTGTGAGTGGGGTGGGGGCCATGGTACACAGGGCTGATTTCACAGTGGTGATTCACCGCTTGGGATTTAGGTGCATGATCCACCACCCTGCTCACTGTGAACAAGACAGTATGCACAGGGCTAGCTGCAAGTGGGGCAGAGTTGCACATGCATGAATCCCAAGCAGTAAAACACCTCTGGGAAATCAGCACCGCATGCCACAGCCCCTACCCCTCTTGCAAAAAGACACTTTAAAGGGTCTTTTCGCAAGTGGAGTATGCGGCTGGTGGCAGCTCCTCTCTCTCCCTCCTGTAAGATTTAAAGGGCCCTCCAGCTGACTGACGGGCCACATGCTTCCCACCGATCAACTGAAGCCCTTTAAATTTCACAGGAGGGACAGCAATGGGGCTGGGTGGCCATTCTTGGGGGCGGGGCTTGGACTTCCCTGCCCACCCCTGGAACACCCCCCAAATTCCCCCTGCTGGAATGATGAGGGGACCTGCCAGGCTTCTGTTACCCATGCAAAATGAACCAATGATAATATCAGGGGACACAGGTTGTTAGAGCCTCTGAGGCATGGCCTGAAATAATACTTTCTTTTTTTTTAAAACAGAGTTTTAAAATGTTTCCAGCACAGCACATATACACTATGTCAGAAAGAAATAGTGGCTAGTCTTTCAGGCAAAGGCTGTTTCCCTAGCTGCTTTGGGTAAAAGGGGGGGGGGGATCTGCCAAGGAAAATATCTACGAATAGTACCTAACATGTAGTTTAGTTTTAAGTCTGTGAAAAACTTTCAGGCAGTTTTTATTGCATTGCTCATTGCATTACTATCCTGACTGTATTGCATTGCTTTTCAATTCTTATAATACAGTCTTATTGAAATGTTTATTGTTATGTATTATACAATTCTATTGCAATTTTTAAAAATGTAATCCAGCTTCAGTTTCAGGAAAAAAACAAGGGCTAGAAAATAAGTAACTAAATAAATCAGCTTTTAGTGACTGTACAAAACTATGCAAAACCCAGAAGTATAAGATAATAAACTCAGAAGCCAATACAAAGTGGATTTACATACTGGTTAATACAATAAAATATACTTTTAAATTCTAATTCAGAAATTATTTATGCTATAATAAAGTTTTGAGGTGCCACAAAACTCTTTATTGGATTATAATGAAGGACAGCAATTATAACAACAATCACAATATATTTTATCAGAGTTATGATCCATTGCAATGAACTGATATCATATATTTAAAAATTAGTATTATATCTCTCCTTATATATAATTGAGTAGTGGGGTGGCACTTTCTGAACATTCCACATGCTCCTAAATCAGTTGGCTCCATGATGTCTCACTCAGAAGCTGTCCCTATCCACTGGCTGCATTTCCTGAGTCCCGCTCACAGAAGCGGCACTTGCCAAAACCATCAGCCATTGGCCTGTCAGCTGCCACTCAAGAGTACTTGCGTGCCATTGGCCAGGTGCTGGGTCTTCTCCACTTCCCCACCCACTCCCACTTCAGCCACTGTTCCCTGTCAGAATTACTGGCAAACGGCTGTCTCCCCCCCTTCTCCTGCTTGGCTCGTCTGTGGCTGTTGGTAGGCAACCAAACTTGGTTCTGTCAGTAAAAAGACAAAGAAATGAAGCCCTTTCCAGACCTTTGTGAGGAACTCATTGGAGCCAGTCCTGACTAGGGTTGCCAGCTCCAGGTTGGGAAATTCCTGGATATTCTGTGTTTAAAGAAGCCAGTCTAAGGAAGCCAGAGTCTGGAGAGGGGAGAGGACTCAGCTGAACAGAATGCCATAGAGCCCATCCCTCAAAGCAGTTATTTTTGGGGGGAGGGGGAGAGA